CGGCCTCCTCACATTACATGCGTCCCGGTGCCGCGGCCTCCAATGACGAGAAACCAGAAAACGTTTTTATTTTCAAAATTTTATTTAGAAAAAGAAATCCAAAATGTCCCGAAAATGAGACGCAATTTGTTTCGGTACAAAATATAACAAAACTCTGAAACAGAATATACAAAAAGACGCATGACGCTCCTCGGCGCAGGCGTACATTCTCCGAGGAGGACGCAGTGCGGAGTTACATAATACAGACAATAATAAGTGCGTTCTCCAAAAAGAGAATTCTCAATACTGGAAAAACAGGCAGACGCTCTAACACCACGAGACGTAGGGAGCTAAGAGTCTACAACACGGCCAGGATCACCGGGACAGAACCACGGCTCAGCCGGTGCCGGGCCTTGCTGCAGACCCGAGACCAAAGTGCATTGAAGAGGAGGAGCTTGGCGTCATAGGCTGCAGCACGTTTATAAAGAAGCCCTTTGTAATCAGCTGTCACCCATGCCCAGGGATCTAGGAGGTCACCCATGCCTAGGGATCTAGGAGGTCACCCATTCCCAGGGATCTAGGAGGTCACCCATGCCTAGGGATCTAGGAGGTCACCCATGCCCAGGGATCTAGAAGGAGGTCACCCATTCCCAGGGATCTAGGAGGTCACCCATGCCTAGGGATCTAGGAGGTCACCCATGCCCAGGGATCTAGAAGGAGGTCACCCATCCCCAGGGATCTAGAAGGAGGTCACCCAGTCCCAGGGATCTAGGAGGAGGTCACCCAGTCCCAGGGATCTAGAAGGAGGTCACCCAGTCCCAGGGATCTAGGAGGAGGTCACCCAGTCCCAGGGATCTAGAAGGAGGTCACCCAGTCCCAGGGATCTAGGAGGAGGTCACCCAGTCCCAGGGATCTAGAAGGAGGTCACTCAGTCCCAGGGATCTAGAAGGAGGTCACTCAGTCCCAGGGATCTAGGAGGTCACCCATGCCCAGGGATATAGAAGGAGGTCACCCAGTCCCAGGGCTTCTACACAGCACTAGTGAGGAGGATCTAACCCTAGAACCGGGTCAACAAGAGCTCCTCCTTCAGAACATGGTCAGAAAGCCCAGAGGTCACAGTTTATGGTTAGGAGAAGGCGATGCAGAAACTTCTGGAAGTTCTAGATAAAGGCAGATGATCCGGAAGACTGACGGACGCAGGGTCGTAGTGGTCGAGCCTCGTAAAGAGAGAAGAAGTGCGTTTGCTTACACAAGTCCAAGTAACAAAAAAGTGCTAAAAAAACAACAACGTAACACTGCTTTCCTCTAATACAACACAGAAACACATGTTACAATCACAGATACAGAAACGCATGTCACAATCACGACACGTCCCGGAGAGCTGGTGCGAAGGATGCGAAGCACGGGACGCAGATACTGACGCAGGCTTCGAAGGTCACCTCGTGGAGTGCGTTCACCGAGCCCGGCGGGTACATAAAGCACACGCTGGAATGCTTTCCGACGATGAACTTCCCTTTATATATAGAAGGCACCACAGTCATCATCATCGGGGCGTAGGAAGGTCGGCGTTCGCTCTCGCGACTTGAAATACTCGACTCTCAAAGAAAAATTGATCTCCGTGGTATAAAAAGATTCTGAAACAGTCATAAAAAGTCCGATGGTACAGAACCGGCGCACTGACCCGAGAACCGGCGGCCTTGGAGAGTCCTCGTTTCCCATCTACTAGGACAACCCAAACTCAGGGCCGAGGGTTGGGCGGGGCCAACGGCTTTGCATTGTGGTGGCCCATCTGAAGAAGAACGGTCTTGGGGTGGCGACTCTCGCAGTGATGGCGGCCCCCTCGGCGTCAACTTCCAAAATAAGAAAAAGGCCGCAAGAGGAGAAGATGGGACCTGCTCGGAGCCGCGCTTCTCGCCAAGGTCAGAGCTTGAGGAAACAACAAGTGCTTCTACGTTCCGTCTAATCAGCGCAGGAATTCTTATTGGCGTCCACCTGGAGGAGGAGGAGACAAAACAAGATTGAGTTCACTTTCTCTGGGACTTGCCATCTAGGAGACCGCCCCAAGGTATCTAGGAGGCCCAGTCCCCGCCCCAAGGTATCTAGGAGGCCCAGTCCCCGCCCCAAGGTATCTAGGAGGCCCAGTCCCCGCCCCAAGGTATCTAGGAGGCCCAGTCCCCGCCCCAAGGTATCTAGGAGGCCCAGTCCCCGCCCCAAGGTATCTAGGAGGCCCAGTCCCCGCCCCAAGGTATCTAGGAGGCCCAGTCCCCGCCCCAAGGTATCTAGGAGGCCCAGTCCCCGCCCCAAGGTATCTAGGAGGCCCAGTCCCCGCCCCAAGGTATCTAGGAGGCCCAGTCCCCGCCCCAAGGTATCTAGGAGGCCCAGTCCCCGCCCCAAGGTATCTAGGAGGCCCAGTCCCCGCCCCAAGGTATCTAGGAGGCCCAGTCCCCGCCCCAAGGTATCTAGGAGGCCCAGTCCCCGCCCCAAGGTATCTAGGAGGCCCAGTCCCCGCCCCAAGGTATCTAGGAGGCCCAGTCCCCGCCCCAAGGTATCTAGGAGGCCCAGTCCCCGCCCCAAGGTATCTAGGAGGCCCAGTCCCCGCCCCAAGGTATCTAGGAGGCCCAGTCCCCGCCCCAAGGTATCTAGGAGGCCCAGTCCCCGCCCCAAGGTATCTAGGAGGCCCAGTCCCCGCCCCAAGGTATCTAGGAGGCCCAGTCCCCGCCCCAAGGTATCTAGGAGGCCCAGTCCCCGCCCCAAGGTATCTAGGAGGCCCAGTCCCCGCCCCAAGGTATCTAGGAGGCCCAGTCCCCGCCCCAAGGTATCTAGGAGGCCCAGTCCCCGCCCCAAGGTATCTAGGAGGCCCAGTCCCCGCCCCAAGGTATCTAGGAGGCCCAGTCCCCGCCCCAAGGTATCTAGGAGGCCCAGTCCCCGCCCCAAGGTATCTAGGAGGCCCAGTCCCCGCCCCAAGGTATCTAGGAGGCCCAGTCCCCGCCCCAAGGTATCTAGGAGGCCCAGTCCCCGCCCCAAGGTATCTAGGAGGCCCAGTCCCCGCCCCAAGGTATCTAGGAGGCCCAGTCCCCGCCCCAAGGTATCTAGGAGGCCCAGTCCCCGCCCCAAGGTATCTAGGAGGCCCAGTCCCCGCCCCAAGGTATCTAGGAGGCCCAGTCCCCGCCCCAAGGTATCTAGGAGGCCCAGTCCCCGCCCCAAGGTATCTAGGAGGCCCAGTCCCCGCCCCAAGGTATCTAGGAGGCCCAGTCCCCGCCCCAAGGTATCTAGGAGGCCCAGTCCCCGCCCCAAGGTATCTAGGAGGCCCAGTCCCCGCCCCAAGGTATCTAGGAGGCCCAGTCCCCGCCCCAAGGTATCTAGGAGGCCCAGTCCCCGCCCCAAGGTATCTAGGAGGCCCAGTCCCCGCCCCAAGGTATCTAGGAGGCCCAGTCCCCGCCCCAAGGTATCTAGGAGGCCCAGTCCCCGCCCCAAGGTATCTAGGAGGCCCAGTCCCCGCCCCAAGGTATCTAGGAGGCCCAGTCCCCGCCCCAAGGTATCTAGGAGGCCCAGTCCCCGCCCCAAGGTATCTAGGAGGCCCATAGCCGGTAACCCACAGGACAGACATACGGCTATCGGGCGGGTCTGAGAGAGGCAACATCATGACCAGTGAGATGTTTCTACAGATGAACTCTCCGAGCTTACCTCGGTGTAGGTCGGAGGCGGCATGAACTTGAACTCCGGGGCGTACATGAAGATGGGACTGTCGCAGATGTTGTCCAGCTCATCGATCAGAGGCGTTGTTGGGCTTTCAATCCTGTGGTCCTCGGCAACAATATCCAGATAGCAAGGAGGAGCTGCGAGAGCAAAGGCGGCAAGTTTAATGTGCGAACCGTTAGGGCGAGACGTACACACGCATGAGCAGACACGTACACACGCATGAGCAGACACGTACACACGCATGAGCAGACACGAGCATGTATAGACGAGCGTGTATCATGGAATACACACCTTCTGGAGTGCCGGGGATGTTCAGCGTCACCCAACTCATCTCCGAACTGACCTGGCTGGCCATGCTTGAGGTGCGGCTGCTGAAACCAGAGGAGTTGGTGCCGATGACGAGGGGCAAGTCCAGGATGACCTTCCTTGCTCCGGGGACACTGACGTAAACCTGAAATGTAAAGGAGGAATTTAGTTACCGGTGGAAATATTCCTTCTAGAGGACCGGAAGGGAGGACGAAGGACGGAAGGGAGGACGAAGGACGGAAGGGAGGACGAAGGACGGAAGGGAGGACGAAGGACGGAAGGGAGGACGGAAGGACGGAAGAACGGACGAAGGACGGAAGAACGGACGAAGGACGGAAGGGAGGACGAAGGACGGAAGGGAGGACGGAAGGACGGAAGAACGGACGAAGGACGGAAGAACGGACGAAGGACGGAAGGGAGGACGAAGGACGGAAGGGAGGACGAAGATGGACGTACCAGTAAAGAGTATTCCACTCTGAGGATGTTGCAGCTGAGGATGGAAGGTTTGATCTTCGGGACGCGGATACTCTTTCCTCTCCAGGAGTCCGTCATGCCGGAGATGATGTGGTTCCCCCGCACGCTGCACAGCTTCTGGGAGAAGACTTTGGTCTGGCCGTTGGCCAAGTAGGTGTGCTTGGCGATGATGGCAGCTTTGGGGACGACGATGCGGGAGCAGGTATTCTCAAAGTCAGCGGAGATGCAGATGTCGTCGCCTACAAACACGGAAGGGGCAGAAAGATTAGAACGGGGTAAAGCCAATTTGTGGAGTCAAGCCGCGCCACCACAGGACACGCGGAGAAGACTCACCTTCACAGAATCCCTTGCGGTTGATGCTGGCACTCATGGTGATGTGGCCATCAGGGATGAACAGGCAAGTCATCTTCTTGTATTTCTTGCCGGAGACAGGAGACTGAAAGGAGGAAAAGGACATTACGGTCAATAAAGCTCCACCGAGCATGAAATCCAGACAACACCGGTTCCGGGTCAGCTAGGCGTGGCGACACTTTGACTTCTGGCGTTAATCGGTAATGCTCATTACTTAAATGACACGGCTGCTTAGCTATGACCTTGACCTTCCAGAAGTCGGCTGCGGATTACACCAAAAACACCAATTCTGGTCCTAACCAAACGTAATAAT